AGACCCAAACCAGCCATATTTTTAAAATCTGAGTTCACTGCCCAGAGGCCAGTGTGTAAGCCTCTTCTGCATCACGGGAACATTTGTCTAATAACTCCCCCTGGAGTAAAGTCGCATTTAATTTAATTTTTGTACAAGTTGCTTATTTTCCCTCACATAGTCACTGGCAAAACAACCTAAAATCTGCTGTTGATGAACATCTCATGTGCTCTGCTGTTAACACATTTAACTATGGTGCACCTGTTACTGCTCTTACACATTTTCTTCCCACAGGACCCAGCCTTTTATTTTACAACGTGAAGTCCATCGCCTTCTGTTTACAAAACACATGCTCTTACTGTGTGTTTTCAGTACAGTGGCTCCTGGCCTCCTTCCCCCAAATAAACTTGCAAGGTGTTTTTTATTATTATTATTATTATTGCCCACATCCACGAGCGAGTGACATAGCAATAACAGCCCATGCTGTCACAAGAAACCCACAAAACCAAAGCATGTTTTATTATTTAGTCGCTCTGCTGAACGGGGTCGAATGGCACACGCCCAGAAGGAAGGTATGCCATGAGATGAAACGGCTCACGCGAAGCAGTACAGACGTTAACCACGCACTGTACGAACAGTAAGGATGTGAGCTACTCTTCCATGGCTTCAGACAAACCCCACGCTATTGTTTAATTTAGTGGGGGGTGGGGGTGTGACCACAGAACAGTAGCCAGTTTGTAGCAACATTCTTGCACCTCTTTTCTTCTCGATCCATTTATTTTCTAACGACTTCATCAAATTCAGGGATCCAGGGGAGGTGAAGCCTATCACTGAAAGTAACGGGCACAAGGCAGGGTAAACCCTGGACAGCATGCCAGCCCTTCAGAAGGCACAGACACAAACACCTACTACTAAACCTTGGACTGTGGGACGAAACCCATGCAAACATGGGGAGACAGAACCGAAGGTCAGGAATTGAACCCAGTGCCCCAGCGCCGAGAGGCAGCAACACTAGCCACTGTGCCTCCATGCCACTTTAAATAACTGTCCAGTCAGCTCTGCCACTATGATCTTGCATTCGGATGAACCAAACTGCACAATAAACAGGACACCTAACTGCCTCAGGTATACCAGGGCATCAGGAATATGTGGACATCTTACCTGAGTGGCCTTGTCATTCATGCAGTACATCCCAACGCCATCCTGGTCCTTTGGCCAGTGCCCCTGCAGATATGGTCCTATGATGGTGTCCAGGGACAGGGTGCGTCTGATGCTGGGTTTCGGAGGACGGGATTTAGTCTTCTCAGCTAAAGGACAGTGCACAGTGCCATTAAAGACAAATATGGTCTATCTTAATCCCCCACTCAGTTACAGAATAAGGAGGCCAAGCCCACGTTATCTTCAACACCAGCAGCTCAAGAACCAGCTGATATCACAGGCAAGTTCCTGATATTTCTCTTCTGCTCTTGGTTAAGCACATTTAATTGATCGCTTGCTACACTTCCTATGAAGAGAATTGCTGCATGACTCGCCATTTTCATTTAAAGTAATTTTGCAGAAAAGTATCTGGGTTACAAAACAACTGAGATGCAAGCTCTTTTTCTGCCACCTAGGAACACCGTCCTTCAAAATGGAGTGAAAATAACAGACTTTCTCCTGATCGCTTGCCTTGAATAAAGGAGGTTTAAAAAAAAAAAAGACATGAAAATTAATGTGATTTAAAACCAGAGATCTGTAGCTCTTGGATCTTCTGCTCAACAGCATAATTATGCTACAGTCAACTTGATACATGATAAATATAAACCAACGAAGGCACAGGCTGCATCACCAGCTATGCACAAAACAAACTACAATGTCTCCTAAATAAATAGTGTCATGGTAAACCCCTAAGCAAACTTTTGCCATGCATACAGCCTTGAAGAGGTGGCAGAAGGTGAAATTTTCAGGGTGAATCATCATGAAGTTACCCTGATGGGGCTTTTTATAGACCAATGCTTTCAGGTGAATTATATAACTTCATTTCAAGAAGAATTAAAAATATAAGCTGGTTCAGAGAGTATGTGAATCTGGTGGATTCTTCTGAATTTTCTAGCTGATGTACACGGCCTGATCAATTACTTGTTCTGACGGAACAGCACCTACATCATACATTGACTACTGGTGAGGAGTCCTCAAGTTTAAGTCAGAATGAGACACAAACTTTGGAGCAGTAAAGTGGTCATAAGAAATTCTTTGATTATGCAAGACATCCGGTCAATTGGTTAATATTCTAAACATCTCATACCTCAACATTGCCCAGGACTTTCTGAAAGACAATTCGACTAGACTGCAAAACCACTGCTGTGTTATTTTTAAAGCTAATGCATCACTGGAGCAAAGACTTTAAGACCTTCATCTGTTGTTCAGTTCAGTTCTTGTCTGTAGTCAAAACCCAGCATCTACATGATTACATCTAGATACAATGCAACTTTCAAGTTCATTTATTCAAAATATTTACAATTAAAAAAAAAATTGCAGAACAAAGACCACTATAACAATCCTAGCATCTGCTCTTTCTTTGTACATACAACACTGTTTTATTGGAACAAAATTCAAAGCAGCAACCCCACCCAGTTCATTATTTGTCCCAAAAACAAACAAAAAGGTTTTCATTTCCGGAGAGAATCCTTTTAACCCCTTTATTAACAAAACAAGTCAACCAATCAAAAACCTAACAAACTGCACTGACAGCTCCAAGTTAAGTCAGCCCTTCCAGTTACTGCAATTTGTTTTTCAGCCTGCTGTCACTGAGAAACGTCGTCTGGTGTGCGTCAGTAGGAATAGCAAACGAAATAGGGCCTTTTCGCTGCACATTGTCAAACAGCAAGATCTAATGAAACGGTCACACACTGATCACATACTGTGTCACTCAAGAGCACAAACCAGAACACTGGGCATAACTTGAATTCCACCCTGCATTCTATATATAGGGGGGCATCTCGTGTTATTAATCTCCAACAGGTGTGAGTATTCCAGATGAGGGGGGTCATTAGTGTGACGCAACACAGCCCCATCTCCCAGCTGAAGTTGCTGGCGATCAGTGCAAGCAGCTAAGGTTACCGGGGCTGGGAGGGGTAAAGGACCTGGAAGAGATGCCGAGGATCCGTTTCACGGTCAGCTTAAGGGCCAGGAATGCTCTACGTATGGGAATGAGGGACAAGCTCAACTAAATAGAACGGGGGGGGGGGACACATCTTCTGGAAGAGACACTGGTCCCTGGGGAGGATCAATCCAGCAGAGCAGGGTTTCTAGGTTATCACTCAGGTGATTTGGTAAATTACTTGATTCAGAGATCCAGAGGTCTCTTAACGGAACAGAATGCTTACATGATGCAGCAGCTGCTCACAGCATTGTAAACCTCAGTCAACTGCAAGTCAAACTTTCAGTGTTGGTGCAATCTGCTCGAATGCCTCAGCACTCTCCCCCTACTGCAAAAGGGCACCTCCATATGGCTTTGCGCTCCTATCTCCATCGTAACCTTACTACAGAGGTCCGCTTCCACGGGACTCTTAATTTGTGATGACAGTTATCCCAAGGATGTGAACCTGAAATACAGCAGCAATTCCCTTGTAAAGAATTAATCAAAGGACACTTCACGGACCCACCAACAAGGTTTAAAGGATACTGGCATCTACAATGTGCATATTTGCGCAGCAGACATGCACATCCAGTGGCAGTAGGACTGGCCAAAGCACATCCTGAAGCCTGAACTGGTCAGATCTCAGACACTGAGCCAGAACGGACCAGAACGGGGGACCTCCAGGAAAAAGCAGGCAGCTGCTTTATGTGGCGGTTTAAGGACCAGTAAGTGGTGCTCTTTCCTCTGGACCTGAATCTGCAAACCAGAGCCCCAGGATGATGGATTGGGACATTGGAAAAGGGGCCGCCCTTCAGGTAAGTTGTAAAACTGAGCTAGTGACTATGGACTCTAAAGAGCATATGGCATCTTTCAAAAGCATGGCTGTTTTATGCCACCCACCTGGATGCTGCACATCAGTGGTGAATGATGTGACTCCCCTCCTGTACAAGGCATACTATATATAAAGTGCTTTAAGATGAAATGTTATAATAAATTATTTGAATCTACATCTTTGTGAAGCCATTTTAAAACTGACCACAGCAGTCACAGGCATTTGGAAACGTAGCTGTTCTAGAGAAACACAGATTAAAAAGCATTAAATACCTTATTGAAAGACAAAATACAGGTCAACAGTGACTCCAATGGACACTAGCTGCGTTTTGCATAAACAGCACAGATTTAAAGCTTATTCTAAAGAGACAACAAAGTTTTACTATGCAAATAGGACTAGTGGAACTATTTTCACTGCCTCCACCCTCCGGCCCCTGGCGTCTCCCCTTCAGGAAGGTTGACCCAGGAGCCTCCGTGTGTTTGCTGTCCAGGAGATGCCTGGGCTGAACTCAGGTCTAGATCCTGAAAACCTGCGGCATCTCAAATATTCAGCTCCCACCAGACAACATGTTGAACCCCTGGGGGGCCCTGGAGCGCCACTCCAGCCCGCACGATTCCTTTCGTCTTTTCCCTCCTGGTACAATAAAGAAATACGGGTTTGGCAAGTGCGGGGAGCGACACGTCTGCCAACTGAAAGAGCCAGTTGTCTCTTGACGAACACCGGGACCTCTGTGACCTCCCGGGATGTATTATTCATGGCTGCCGTCGTGCATGCCAGGGAACGCGGTTTTTAATCCCGGGCTGTATCCCCTCCACCCCAAAGAAAATAAACACGCATGCAACAGCACAAACACCCCAGAGTCCCGGCCGGCCTCGGCCCGTGTTCCTGCAGCTCATTTACCTGACTGGGCTCCTCGGGGCTGCGACTTGCTGTGGAGCTGGAAGGGCACGGTGGCTCTGAGGGGCTGCAGCCCCACAGCGCCCCCCCGGACCACCCCCACCCCGCTCCTGCAGGACATGGCGACCGGCCGCCCCCCCCACCACGGGTACCTTAAAAAACCAAAACAAAAGGGGGAAAAAAAAAGCGAAAGAAAGCGTGTACTTTCGGCCACTCGAAAACAAAAGCGTGAAGTCTCCGGAGCACCCCCCTCCGCCGGGAGAGAGAGGTGTAGAGGAGAGGGTGGTGGGGGGTGGTACAGTACAGAACACAAAACAAAAATAAAGTTCAACTTTCGCCAACTTCAGCTCCAGCGACGATGAGCTCCCGGGCTTGCCGGCAGTGCAAGATCCACCGGGAAAGTAGTTTCTTCCGTGACGGGCGGGACCTTGCGGGAGAGCGACTCCCGGCCGCGGCTCAGTTTACACTCTCCTCCATCCGCTGCTCGCCGTCAGGTGCGGGACCCGCCGCCCTCCTCGCTGCCAGAGGGCCGTGTTCAGGACCGCCCGGGCTCGGTCCCGGTTCTCCCGGCTGTGGGGTGGGGGGGGGAGACTTGTTCCTCCAGCGGGCTCGGTTCGGTTCCCCTCCCGGCGACGCTCGCAAGTTTCTCAAAAAAAAGTGACAACAGCCCCACGCTCGCGTTCTCGTTTAATCGCGGGGGGCGGGGCCCCGACATCTCCTGGGCCCCCATTGGGCGAAGGAAATTACTACTTCCACGTTATTGGTTGAAGGGGCGTCGATCTGCAAAAGGGGCGAGCCCCAGGAGGCCCCCACGACCCCACCCCCCTGGTTAATATTAATGAGCGTTTCCCTGCTCACTGGGTGCACTGGGTGCCACTCTAAGTAAAGCGCAGGTTACAACCCCCCTTTTAAGGCCGGATGTTTTATGCTCCTTTCAAAAACAACCCCACTAATTAAATATAAAATCAACCTGGAGTCCGTTTTTTAACAAAAACAGCGTTTCTATTGCCTCTTAACATAAGGCAATTTACTATACAGTTATCGACAGTTCAACCCCGGTGATCAGTTTACTGTACCTTTTCTCTGAGCTCTGAGGACAACGTGACAATCTCACAGTACCCCAGAATTCCCCAAACCATCTCTCAAGCGTATTGTTGAAGACTTACTCAACAAGGCGCAGAGCAGCTGCCAGTCAGTTCATACCTGGGACTTCACAGCTACATCCTTCTTACTTACTGTTCAGTCTTCATGTTTTTATTTATTTATTTTTTAACGTTTTCCAGTCTGGGCAGCAATGTGGCACAGTGGTTAACATTGCTGCCACGCTGTGCTGGGGCCCTGGGTTCAATTCTGCTTCTGGGGTGCTGTCTGTGAGGAGCTTGTATGTTCTCCCTGTGTTACAATGGGGTTCCTCTGGGTGCTCTGGTTTTCTCCCACAGTGTAAAGACCTACGGGTAAGTGAACTGGTCTCAGGGAACACCGGCCCTGGTACGAGTGTGATTGTGTTTGTGCCTTGTGTGTGCCCTGCAATGGGCTGGCGGGCTTTCCTCATCTCACCAAAACCAGCCTGCCCCTGAGCTCCCTGCCCGGTTCTCTAGAGGAAATATTTCACAACTACTCTACACACATGCTTCCCCAGTAAATTGGTGATGTGCTTGGACAGCTAACACCTGTTCCAGAGGGACTCCAAAGCCCCCTGACCCTCTCATCTCTGCACCAGTCTTTTAAAGTTACATTTTCCCTCCCCGTCAGCTTGCCTATGGTACCAGAAGAATGATGATGTTTTTTTTTTCTGAGAAAGGATTATTATTAGATTTCCCAATGAGAATCCCAGTTTAGAGTTTGCTGTCCCTATACCTCAGCACGGTCCAAACCGTACACAAACTTGGAATAATAGTACCTAACACAGTCTTCCACACATCCTGTAATGACTGTAATGTCCCTGTCACGACCATTGTTTACAGCAGGTTAATTCTGGATTAATAAATGGAGTAAAAGGAAGTCTTGCATTAAAACAAGAGATAACCTTTATTACTCCACCTCATCCATTACGGGGAGTTTGCGTCAGCACTAGACACATCTTGGGCAGAGTGACTGCTCTGGACTGCTGAAGGAAGCGTGGCTGTGGGACTTCAAACGCAGGGTCCCCAGGTGAGGGACGGGTCGATCGCGGCCTTTGATTGCTAATCCGCAGGTAGTGGGCAGCGCCAACGCCGGCCCCATCCGCCACACGCAGCTTCAGAGAGGCGTGACGTCTTTGCAAAGGTCAGGGGTCGCCGTGTGCCAGGGAGGGCTAGCTGTCAGAGATACATACTTCGTTCACAGACATGGAGGGGAGTCTTATTTATTCCTCTGAAAGAACCTCCGAGAACCAAGGCAAAACTCATCCTGTGAAGAAGGATGTCTCAGTCAGACAACCATCCTCACGCGCAATAACATCTCCTTGCAATCACATGTTGCTTCGTACTGAAAGGAACAGAAATGGTGTCTCAGTTTGACTCAACAGCGGCAACAAAAACCAGAGAGAAGGAGCTGAAAGTGTATCCCCAGCCTCTTCAGAAAACACTTCAACGTCTCTGTCTAAAATTGAGCTCTGACTCTTCAATGTGTCCTTCTGTGAAGTAAAAGAATTTAAATGAGACTCTTACTCTGAGCAGGGATGACAGGACAGACTAAACCTTTTATTTTATTAAGCATCTCTAACTCCCACAGGCCAGTAAGCCAGCAAACCATTACTAATGGGGCACAGGCATGGGCATGGGCATGGGCACTCCCAGCCTGAAGCCTAGACAGAGGCTTTTCATTCTAGCTGTTCTTATAAGTCTCTTAGCTAGCCCAGAGGTGTGGCTCATTTCCACAGAGCCTACCCTGACAACTCTTTTCCATCATGTGGCAATTCACTCCCTTCCGAGTGCTCATTACTCAACCAGTCCAGCTGTGCCTCATTCCACAGTCTTTTTCATTAACAAGCGGCGACCGGACAAAGTCTCCTCTGACCATCATCTGCCTTTCATCGGGTGTCTTCTTGCATAATTCCACTTGTGTTAAAGACAAATCTGACACAAAAAAATCCCATAAAAAGAAATGAAAGGATTAAGAATGACAATATTTAAGATGAACGTGAAAGGCTTCAAATCTGAATTCATCCTATCCGCCTGCTGTCTCAGTTGATAGTGAGGTTTCATTAGCTTCCTTTCCTTAAACAGCAGATTGAAAGGCTGAAGGATCGGGCTTCAGTAGAAAAAAGGGGTCATTGTGGTTTTTTTAAACTTTTGAGCGATGTGGGTCATATAAACACGAGCCTCGAGCATATCATTTGGCTTTGAGGTCAGAGATAAAAGAGCTCATATACTGCCATAGGAGACTCTGAATTTCAGCTTTTGTAAGCAAGGTTTAATGTAAATGTTCTCCATTCACTAAGAAATTAAAATGGGCTTAATACTGCTGTGCTGTTGTACAGTTTATAACTTAATTTCCAGTCATTGATGTCCTAAGCTGTTATGAGGTTAATATGAAGAGAGTTAATAAATATAAATATTCTTTTCTATTTTAAAAATTGATTGACAGGAATTGGTCAAAATCCCATTCCACATAGGCAGAAGACAGTGTTGTCAACACAGAAATGTGACAAGGTAATGTGGAAACTAACAAAAATGTTACATGCCATTTTTTTTCCTCCAGATAATTCTTCTAGGTAAAAGCAATTATCTGTGTGAAAGAAAATCAAATAAAAAATCAAATCAGTTTATCCATTTATATACTGTGTAGGCAGCATATATTGGAAAGCACTGTTTGCCAATCGGGGCAGGACAGTAGCTCAGTGGTTATTTTGGACCTGCTTCCTTCCTCAGTCCAAAATCATACCTGTAGGCTAACTGGCTTCTGGGAACACTGGCCCTGATGTGAGTGTGTGCGGGTTTTTTCAGTTTGTCTGTCCACCTGCACTTGTGCTGTCCCATCTAGGCTGTACCCTGCCTTGTTGCTTGCCCGGACAGACCCCTGAATTGGATGAAGCAGTTGGAAAATGGATGGATGTTTGCCAATCAATGCCACGTTTCATGAGAAATGAAACTGGGGCCAGGCTGGCAGCAGAGGTGTGATAAAAGGTGACTCATTTTATCCTGATGTGAACTGAAGGAAAGGGAAATGGGAAATTGCTGAGGATTTTTGTCCAGCAGTGAGCTTTAAAGTGCAAGTAGGCTGTGAAAGGCAGCCTACACTATATCCTAAAATCAGGCCTTTTTGCTTATTTAACATTCACAATCAGTATATTTTTTTATTACAAATCCATACCAAAATATTGGCCCAGCACATCATATGTTTCAAGACTTCAGAGGACTGTAAAGTAGTAGCAGATCTGTCCTCCTTCTCTGTGCTATACTATGGGAAAAGGGGAGGATGTCAATAAACTCATGAGTCATGGCTATTGGTACATGTGCAGCTGGTGCAGGACTGAGGGCAACAGCATACCTGGCTAATGGATTGTTGAGATTCAGTGGTTTACAGAGAATTGTTGGCAGACAAAAAAAAACACCCCATAAAGTAGAACATCACACACTGAAATAAACTAAACAGATTTCACATCTTGTTAAAAGGCCACTGAGCCTGCTCAATTCTGCAGTATTTTGCTGCTGTAATCTCAATTAGATTGAGACCAAGCTAATACAAGGTAGTACATGATATTTTCATAATGCAGTATATCTGCACATTATTAGATTAATTGATACTTCAAAATAATTCTTCAAACTCAACTGAAGCTGTAATTTCCAGGTGCAGAATTAAAACACTAGATGGCAGCACAGTGCAACAAAACAGCAGCTGTAACGACGTTATGTAGATTGATCAATGTGATCATTGTCAATTATTTTAACAATCATCAATAAAACACAATATCAAGCAGAAGGATTATATCCATATTTATGTTTTTTTATGCCTAATATGTATTTTCTTTGGTTCTTAAGTATTTATCCTTGGTTGTCTTTTCAGCTATGAAATCCAATATTTCTGTAAAGTGAAATGCAATCCAGTCCAGTGTGTACATTAGGAGTCATGGGGCCTCAGTGGTCTGCATTGCTGCCTTGCAGAGCTGGGGCCCTGGGTTCAATTCCTGAGGTGCTGTCTGTGTGGAGTTTGTATGTTCTCCCCCATGTTTATGTGGGTTTCAGGTTTCCTCCCACAGCCCCAAAACACACCGGCAGATTAATTGGCTTCCTGAAAGATCGGCCCTGGTGTGAGTGTGCGCATGTTTGTGCCTGGGTGTCTGCCCTGTGATGGACTGGTGTCGTATTCCATATGACCAAAAAGCCCAATTTTCAATCCATCTGACCATGAGACATTGTCATGGTTGGCATTCAAATGATGTTTGGATAGGACTTGAGTTTTACGTCTCATCTGAAAGACGGCGCCTTTTTACAGTATAATGTCCCCATCACTATACTGGGGCATTAGGATCCACACAGACTGCAGGGTGAGCGCCCCCTACTGGCCCCCTCTAATACCTCTTCCAGCAGCAACCTTAGTTTTTCCCAGGAGTCTCCCATCCAGGTACTGGCCAGGCTCACACTGCTGAGCTTCAGGGGGCTGCCAGCTGGGAGCTGCAGGGTGAGATGGCTGCTGGCCACTTGACAAACCCGTCTCCCTCTTCGGTGACTCACCGTCTTGTCCAGGCAGTACCAGCCTGGGGCTCTCTCGAAACAGGCTGAGGACTTTCTCCAGGGGTCAGGGGTCGGCCACCAGCCCCACCCCCTCAACATCCTCTGCCCGGGAGCTGTGGGCGCAGTGGCCCGCCCGCAGGGATGCCTGTCTCCTGTCAATCACGACTTGCACCTCTGATTCAGCCAGTCTGTTGTTCTATTTCTCACACACTCTCGGACTGCACACCTGTCTGCTGATGGTATCTCCCTGAGGACTGCCTTCACTCTCGGCTATGGGGAGAAGATCCTCTGTGAACTTGCCATGCACTGCCATGCTGTTCCAGTAAGCAAACAACTTCAGCACACATCCACCCCATTGTCCCGGCAAACGAGACAACGTGCACCCTGCCTGTCCAGCACGTGTGATGCCCCTCAGTGTAGCCTTAGATATTTTCCCTACAAGCCTGGGAGCCTTTTCAAACAATGGATGGATGTAAATGTTAATCGTTTCTGCTTTGGCAACACTGTGACTCATGGGACCTGTCAATAAAGCTCTGAGTTCAGATTCTGGACCCCACCTGCTCACAGCTCAGCTCTCACCTCATCTTCTTCTCGCCCCTGCTGACATCCTGATCGGCCCACCCTCCGTCCGGCTCCTCCAGGCTGGCTCAGCAATGGCCTCTTTTGCCCCACCTGGAACAAGCAGCTGCTCGACTTCGATGTCTCCCACACTTCTGCACTGCAGCAGTGTGCACTAGGCCCCAGCTGCTCGTTCACAGCCCTCCCCACCCTGCTGCCCACAGCTCATGGGACAGTGGACGCTGGGAGAGCATGCCTCTTCCCTAGACGTACAGTTGAATGCACTTGAGCAATTGGGAAGAGGTACAGGATCTTGCTCGAGAACACAGCAGAAGTACTGTATTTCAGGCAGAGACTCAAACCCCCAACCTGCAATCTGTACTGCAGTCAAGAGCTCTGACTACTGATACATGCCACCCTAATGCATTTGAGAACTACTTTCTAAATGGAAAACACAAACTTGACAAATCCAGATATGTGACCAGGCAGAAATGAAATGGGTTTTGGAATTAAAAACATCTAAGGAACACTGATATTTTGTGCATACTTGTTTGTGCTTATGTGACCTGAATCATGGAACGGAAAATAATCAGTCAATCTTTTTTATGAAGCAGCATTTAAAAACAATTAATTCCATTATGAGCCACAAAATCGTTTTTGGTAACACACATCAGTAGTGCCACACACTTGATCACCAGATCTTCACTGACACTCAAAGAAACCCAGACAGCTGGAAAATAATTTGGGCAAAATTGCTTTTTAGTCTTAATGGTGACAGACGGCTGAAAATTCAGATAAACAGCTTTTCACCTACCATAGATAGAAGGATAGATACTATAGATAGAAAACGATACCTGACAGATACTGTAGATACAGAAGGTACTGATAGATCAAAGGGCAGACAACGAGAAAGAGAGATCAGTAATGGCAAGAATGAGTCTGAATTCAACTTTACGACATTGGCTGGAGGTGTCAGATCATCAACATTCCAATCTAAACACGCTAAAAGTTCAAAATGAAATTTAAAGGGGAAGTCGCTTTTAGTTGGATTTTTTTTTTTATCTGCACCAGATGCACACAGACACACAATCAGACAGACATAAGTCCAGACAGGCCAGCGTTCTCCTCCTCAGCAGCCAGGGCGTTTTGCTTCATGGAGCCAGAGCAATCGTCTCAACGGGAGTGGAAGAGCAGAGCTGAACAGGGTGCGTTGGAGGCGGCTGTCCTCCGAGTTGGCATAGTCAGGAATTAGGCAGGACTGGCATTAATGGGTGCAGTATTCCTCTCTAGGCCTGGAATAATGGGATCCAGATCCCTCTTTAGCTGGGCGACAGGGCAGGGCTGGCTTCTGTGCTGATGGTGACCAAACACTCACTGGATTTCAGGCTGGCCAGAGACTTGCAGCTGGGCAGGGAAGCCAGCGAGCCACAGAGACCCAGCATGGAGGGTGTGTAGTCTTTGCCTTGGAGAGAAACACTGGACTTAAAATTTGTTTTTGTCTCGATCCTTTGCACAACTTCCTGTACGGTAGATTGTTATGTGCAACATTAAAGGTGCGCAATATTACCCTACTGAGCATTTACACAGCGAAAACATGTCAAACCATAAGAGAAAGCAGAAAAAAACAACTGAATTAGGGTAAAATGCAGTGTAAAACAACGATGCACAGTACAGGGAATGATTCATTGATTCAAGACTGGGAAAACCGGTGGCCTTTTTGATCTGTTAAGCAACTCTGTAGCCAAGAGTGCAACAGTAGCCTAGATTGGACTTTTTCTTGGTTAACAGAAAAGGGTGCAGGGGGGGCTTGGATCCGTAAGAGGCCCGACTCACTGTGTCTTACTCTATGCAAGTTACTGAGCCTCGGAGAACCTAGAAAACTGAGGCCTGGCTGTGACTATGCAGCAAAGGCTGTTGATAGTTATAGTAACTTTGCATTAAAGTGTCTGCAAACAAGACCACCTAGTACACAAAAAACACTGTTCTCAGATTTTCTGTGGTCTTTAATGCTAATGGGCCTCATTACCAGGGCTAGAGCTGTACCTGTTGTGCACCATGTTTCCCCATTCTGCTTCCCATCAGTCTTCTGCGAATCGGAGTCCAGGCTAATCTCGGCAGACAGCTGCTCCACGCTGTGGAAGCTTCTCCTGAGGCACACAGTGAGACAGGCAGACAGAAAAGCAGTGTAAAAACAGGGGTGAGAATGAAAAGGCTATTGATCTCAAAATCTGTATTCTCAGTTCAGTTCATCTCCTCTTTGTACTCTGAATTTTCATTCAACTGAGCTCAAGCCTCCAGCACAACAGGCTTGGAGAGTTTAAAACAACACATGTCCTCTGAAACATGTTGTCACATAAACCATCCAGAAACAGCAGTGGTCTCCTAAATATGGCCAAGATCTTGGGGTGACTAACAATCTCATCATTTAATTAACTAACCACATATTAGTCCATGGGACATTAGCAGATAACAGATTATAGGGAAATGTGTTAGAGTTAGGATCTGTTGTTGTATCTGATGTCACACCAGGCTTGATTTTTTTTTAAGCCTTTGGGGAAGAGAGCAGATATCTTCCTCTGTTCTGCACAGTCTGCAATACCAGCGTGTGAAATTGGAAAAGAATCAGGAAATACCTTCGAAAGAGCTTGACATCTTCTTGGTTATTGAAGGTTCTCAGTGATGGCCACTGGTTGACGAGGGGGATGGTCATCTCCTTTGACAAGTTGTTGGAATCGCAGGGAATGAGACCAGTTCTATTGAACAGGACAGAGAGATGACAAGCCACATAAAATACTGCCACAGGCCTTTCCAATATGTAGCCAGTGCTGATTCATTTACAGTATCTGAGACTTGAATGGCTGTATTGAAAACAGGAAATAATGTAAATGGTCTGTTTTCTTTCATAGTATTGCTGACTGGATTCAAACTGTCTGGGCACAATCACCAAAAGAGCAGAGACAGAGTGAGAGTTGGGATTCAATTTTCATTACTCTACAGATGTAGATCATGGCATTATGAAAAACTGAATATCCACTGTGCTATAACAAAAAACAGATAAAGGGTAGAGGAATTTCTTGCTTTTTAAATCCAAACGCAGAGCTGTAATCAAAAAGACCCCATGACTGTGTACAAGGCTGAGTTTATGGAATTGGCATCAATGATCCAGCATGTTACCAATTAGGAAACAGCTACTGTGTGAGTTACAACCTGAGAAGAAGACAGTTGTTATAAAAGTGGTGCTCCAGTTTCTTCCCATAGTCCAAAAACATACAGTACTAGACGGCTAGCTGGCTTCTGGGACAATTGGCCCTGGTGTGAGTGTGTGTGCGTATCCGAGTTTGTGCCTGTGTGTGTCCTGTGATGGACTGGTGTCCTGTCCAGGGTGTACCCTGCCTTGTGCACTTTGTTTGCCAGGTAGGCTCCTGCAGCCCTGCTCCCTGAGGTGGGTGAAGCGGTTAGGAAACGGGGAGTGAAATGAGCTTCGAAGTGCGCTGGAGCAGGAGGGAGTGGCGCTGGTGTCCGGGCCAGCTGTCGGTGCACGGGGCTGACTCACAGCTGCTCCTGCAGCTCCAGCACGATGCCCTCCAGCTCCTTCTTCTCCTGCTGGCTCTGCAGCCGCGCCTCCTCCAGCCGCAGGGTCAGGCGCTTGTTCTCCGCCTCCAGGTTCTTCAGCTGCGACTCCCTCAGCCTCACCAGCTCCTCCAGGTAACCCTGCCGGCGCAGAGGCAGCCTGATCACAATGCAGCCCGGGCCCACACGAAAGACAGGCAATGGGTCTGAGCAGCAGACTGTCCAGGCTACAGGCTAGCAAACACTAAAGTCTATTTAATGCCATTTGAGCTACAGTGCAAACACCTGTGTCTGCACATGTCTTCTAAATACATTAGGAGTATTTTCTATTGTTGTCTATTTTCAAGCTGACTGGTGAGGCAGTGTTGTAGAGGGAATGTATTTTGGACCGTGAGTTTTGAGAAGCCTCTACCCACCATAACCCTGCCTTTCCTCTTCTGCTCGAAGGGAACCCAGAGGAAAGAGAGACTGACAGAGGGCAGTTTTCTAGGGAAGCTCTGGTAGGCAGTAGCCACAGCTCAAAAGTTGAAAAACAATGGCTTTCCCAGCCAGAAAATCTATTAGAAAGTTAATAAGTGAAGCGATCTCCAAAGATTACCCTGTTATTATCGGTCTACTTTACCCATAAAGGAAGAGTGCGTGGCAATAAATCATTAGGAGGAAACCATTCATGAGGCTAGTATCCTGCTGTATAACTATACAACTATAACAGCCCAGCCAGCAGTACCTTGGCATCCCAAACTGTCACACTGGGTAAGAGCACAACTCCTTCTGGGGATCTGTCAGCTGACCAACTGCAGGAAGCCCTTCGGTCAGGTGACTCTTTAAATACAGGCTCACTGCTTGGAATGAATTTGTGAGTGTTGTGACCGTTTCATAAAATGGTAAAAAAGCCTCGGAGGGAGAGAAAGAGGCTTTGTGGTGTATTTGGACGAGCTCACGTGACGAGTGTGTTTGGAGTTCGGGGAGCAGGGTAGCTAGGGGCTTTGAGAAGATGTTTCGGCAGGAGCTTGATGAAGACCTTAGGCTTTTGTTTTGAATTCCCTGCACAATACATAAATTGCACTCGTGTGTTTAAACCTTACTGCTATCTGTCTGTGTTGTTTGCTGGCCTGGACACACCCACAGGTATTCCACAGTATGACTAAAATTGTGACTTCCAACACGCTACAGAAACACTGCACCTAACTGCACCATACTAGAAGGCAGGGCCAGGACCTTCTGTGCATAAACGATCTTATATTTCTGCTCCATCTTGCGACACTTCCTGCTCCAGCTCTCCTCGTCCGTGACCAGGGGGATGTAGGGATGGTCAGGAATGCTGTCGTCACTGGTGCTGCTGTCCACGCTGTTCCTGTCGTCATCGTCGCTCATGTAGTCGTAGCTGCACGGAGACAAGGAACACGGATTCACCAGCCAGCGCCTTACACATCCATCCTACAGCCGTGTCGGCTTCACTACGACACAGAGCACATGATTCACTTACAGTCCACACTGCAGGCTTTATTCAGAATCAGGGTAAAGGTTATTGCAGTGCAAGGTTTTCACACACATACTTTCCTCTTTCTCTCGCCTGGAGAACTCCATCATTGGATAGCATCACGGGACATTTAGTAAGAGTCTAAGAAAACCCTTTTCTGGGTTATTACTGGCTCCAGCCTGTCAGATGTTCTAGTTCTTGGGCTCTTGACCCAAGAAGTATCAGAGTGTTAGGAGGTCCCTGTCCAGCAGGTCTTATTCATCACCCTTAAAATCATCCACTTGTAAAGACTAGGAAAGGGTGTTACACAGTAGTGTACACAGCTTTTTTTCTCTTAAAAAAATGAAAATCAGGCTGAACAACTGCTCTATATCCCTGCAGTACAATAACCTTGATTAGAGACTTGTGAAGGTGCTTACCTTTGTGTAAACTTCAGGTAAGGTGTGTAATCGATCACTGCTGGGGTCTTTCCATCTAGTACCTCACCTTTCAGGCAGAAACTGGGCAAAGAGCAGAGAGGCTACATTCCCAATCTTTTCATACAGTACATGGCTGTAGTAAATTGCCATCTAAATTAATAAATCAGGACAGCTTTCCTGTTATGGAACCATACAAAGAACTGGGAGAGCAATTTTATATATTTTTAATGAACATTTCAAATTATCAGTAATGTTTTATTATTTACCCACCTCAATAGCAAACTGTTGTAAGACATAGTAAGCCAGCAGTGACTCCTGAACCACAGGAGAGGAAGAGACCGAAAAGGAGAAAGGCCCCACCAACCAGTGAAGCATTCTACAAGATGTTCAAAGTATTTTCAAAGAAGAGCAAATGGGATTGTTTAAATGACCCAGATAAAGGCCCTAACCAAAGAGAGAAAAAAGTCTCTTAGGGCCTGGTCATTCACTAAAATGAACCCTGACTGTTTTAAACTGCATCAGGAATGGAGTCATACAGTGCATACTATCACTGCTGATCTAGTTTTTATTGACCCTGAATACACAAACCTATTACTGTCTAGTCACTGTGTCATCCTAACTGAACCATATAAAGCCACAGTCCTGCAGTTTTTATTGGTCAGCAACCAGAGACCTGTAAGAATTTCAGCAGGCTGCAATAAATCACTGGTAACATTAAATCAGACCTTTAGTAAGGTACTGTAGAATAGAAACCAGAGGAGCTATGTGATTCCTGCATCCTGCATCAGGACTGGGTATTGATCTAGTCTACTCTCTAGGCCAGTAAGTAAGAGGTCTTTCAGCTCATTCGGAAAGGAGCTGACAAAGGAAAGCCAATGTTTCACTTCCAGAACAACAATGAAGCACAGTCCTGTGCAGAAATATGAAAATTAAGAGATGCAACATTTAGGATTGTGTGTAGGAAGCACTTCTTTACTGCTTTCCACAAAGGGTGACGTGTCTGTTGTGGCAGAAACTCACGTAGAAAAGAAAATAAAAAACCTGAAACATTTTTCAGGTTGAAAAATGATATAAGGATCCAAAGACACAATAATATGCAAGGTACAGATGCAATCGGAGTTGACAAAAGAGGCTCGGCACTACACAAAGAGTTGCGGGTGCATGGAACAAACTACCTAGCCCTATGGTTGGATACATGTGTCTGATGTTACTGCCCTCTTACCTGAAGTCTATAGCGCTCAGCCCAATCAGCATTCCTGTCAGCACAGTGGATTCTTCCCTCAGCATGATCGCCCCGTCATCATAAAACCTCCTGAAGACATTGATCAAAGACAGCATTAATGTAGACTGCTTTATTATTGTGAATAAATTCCTTTCTAGCTGCATGTGATATTTGCAGTGCTCTCCTTATTACCTGCAATCATAGTTAATTCTGCTCAGAAAGTAATCTGTCATGCTGGCAAAACACTCTAGCAAAAGCTGCATATGGAAAGGGCACACTATGGTATAACACTGATGTCTTCCTACAGATATTTCACCCTGTTTGCACGTATGGCACCAGCTGCCATTCCAGAAGCTAATCTGGGTACAGTACTTAGCCAGACTGAGAAAAAAATGACCTACAGAGCAAAAACAATTGGGAGTCTCACACCAATTCCATAATTATTATTTGTGCACAGGCAGACACATGCACTATAAAGCGATTAAAGTTTCTCTACATTATTGTTTTCTGAAAACCTGTTTGACCTGAAATGCAGTAAAATGTAATACAGAATGGAAAAGTATCCTCTGCTTCGTGGGAGGGATGCAACAAGTGAGCAGGACACAAAATGGCCAGTTTTCAGAGGGTCACATGACATTTGCATGTCAAATACGGACAGGGCATGTCTTCCAGTTTGGGAAGGAAAAGGCCCAACGCTAGAAGGGAAGACGATGCTCCCTGGAGGCTCTGGTTCACGAATCCTGTCAGCTGGTTCCGAACAGTGTTTCAGTCACGCTACTTGGCAGCTCGATGGTAAAATCACTCTCCTGCCTGCTGTGGGCGGAGTGGGGGAGAGCCGGCACTGACAGATGGCATCTACAGAAACATCAACGACTAGAGAATAAACAGGGGGAGGAGGAGGACGAGGAGGAGGACGAAGAGCCCCCTCCCTTCACTGTAACACTGTGCTCATGAAGCATCAGAGAGGTCGCAAAAAAGCTCTCTTTACCAACAGCAGCTGACAAAGCCCCCCTCAGCATCTCCACTGTGGTTCAGCCAGACAGCAAGAACAGAGTCAAGAAATTGCAAAAACACAACAAGCTAATCTTCACGTTAATAAGAATCACATTTTGTGCATCTCGTTTTTGTTTCGAACATCCCAATGGACTTCACAATAGAATCCTGACAAAAGGAGCAAAAACTATTTCCAGCATCAGTGGAAAGTGATATGGGTGGCACAGTGATCATGCTACCTCACAGCTCCTTGGTCCTGGGTCACTTAGGACCTGGAGTATCTGTGAGGAGTCTGTATGGTTTCCTCTTTGTGCTCCGGTCTCCCCCAATAGACCAAAAGGTAAGTGCATTGGCTTCTGGGAAAACTGTCCGTGGTGTGAGGGTGTGTGTCAGTGCCTGTGTGTGCCCTACAGTATGATGGGCTGGGGTCCCATCCAGGCTGTACCCAGCCTTGTGTCTGTTGCTTGCTGGGATAGGCTCTGGCTCCCCCATGACCCTGAACTGGAAGAAGTGGTTAGAAAATGGATGGATTAAAAAACAATACTCTTGTAAAACTTCTGTAATGCTTTCTCTGCCACTCTTAGATTGTCATTACACGAGCAAACAGTCAAAAGTGAAGTAAATACTGCCAAAAGATCCTGCAAGATTTTCCTCAAATAAAATGATTGCATTTTTTTTTTAGTTAAGAATGTCTTGGTCAGCTGATGCTTTTTCAGATTCACTCTGTGCACCTGGTGAAAAGATTTTTGGATCATCAAGAGGAATCAGTTTTCCCCTTACAGCCTTTACCACAGACTCTTCTCGTTTGAGAAGTTGTCAGGTTTGACTTTCTTATGTGTCTACTTGTATAGAAACAGGAGCTGGAATGTGCCTGAATAGTCAGAGTCAATTCCTGCCCTCCCAGTGAAAGATTTTTTAGGGTTTTGTATCTTTGACCAAGTAAAGGATTCAAATATATATTTATGATCAAAATGAGCAATACGTACTGCCCAAACCCTGAGCATCAGCTGCAATAAACAGTGGACACAACTGATGTGGAACATAAGATCAGGGTTACAGTGCAGGAGCTTCCTGCAGCCTTCGTTGTACTTTCAGTGTTTATTTTTCCACTTGCTAATCACAGCCTTTTAAACCTTAGAGGCTGTCTGAACTGATAAATTAGCCAGATCTGCTTTTGCCTTCAGCAATGCACCAGTAATTTTGTTTCCCATGAGGCTGCTTGCATCAGCCTTTTTTCCATATCTCTGCACACTGGGCTAAAGGCCTAGTCTGCTGCTACTTCATTTTGCAGAGGGTGGGTCGATCCTATGGAATATGCCATTTTTCTGCGCTATAAATAACGTAACACATTCTCAAGCTGGAGCAATATTCAGCAGCCCGGCAGTGCTTCTGTGGAGGGTGAAAGCTGGCGATACCTGGTTGTCCGCGTGTCCCTCAGGGCTGTGGCGATGTACTCTGAAAGACGCTTCTCCATCAGTGCCACTCTCACCCAGGCACGGCCCTGCAGACAGCAAGAACAAAGAGCCCATTATTCACCTCGTCTGACAGCCTCAGCAGCACAGCAGCAGCTACTGGGCTTCTCAGATATTCTTCCTCTCAGACTGCCAGATATCACCTAAAACAGAAGGAACTGCACTAATTACAAGATGCGATTCCCTGCCTTCCCATCTTTCAGTCCAGTTTTGGGCATGTCCTCTGTTTTTCACACAACAGATCGATAAGGGGTGAAACATCATATGATGCATTTTAAGCACGCTGATTGCAAATCAGATCAGGGCTGCGGTTAAATTGTTTTGTAGGCTGATGTGGATCAAGCTATGTTCTTGTAGAGGAGATTTAAATTCTTCTGAGCATATGAAATATACTGTATGTACTTGGTTATGGGAAACTCAACTCAATTATCAAGCAAGAGAAAAGCTGGTGACTTCACATCAGTGTGTACACAGTGTATGCAGCACACAGTCTATAAAAGGCACTGACCCACAGTAGGAATCTTTCCCTTTTCACTGAAAGGACCAGCACACAAAATAACACTGTACATTGACTATGAAGCAAAAGGACCTATATTACAATTTCCACATGTGTGATATCTGATGGCTTAAAACACATTTAAAGGGAAGAATATTGGGGAATCCTTTCAGAATCGCTCCTCCTGTAAACAAGTCAGCAAGGTATCTGTAAAATCTCTTGGAAGTTCAACCTAGCAAATACTATCATTCAGTAACTTATAGAGCTTGTGTCTTCACTGAAAACCTGCAGAACACAACCCACAGACCATTGCAAAAATACATTAAATAAAATCTCCCTTTGTTCAAAATTCATACTTTTATAATTCATACAAATTATAAAGCAAAATATACAAGATAAACAAAGGATCCTTTGACAGACCTGTCAATAATTTGAAAAAAGGAATGCTGTTTAATTGAAAGGAACATATACACCAAGGCAGGCATAATGACTGCAACTATCAATAGAAAAGAGTGTAAAGTTCTCACAGAAATGATGGAAACATGATTGTTAAAATAATCACATGGCTATTTAAGAAGGAAATGGTCTCTCATCACTGGCATGGTGTAAATTCATACTGTCCCAAAGTGTGGTCTTCCCTATAAGTAGAATCACAAATATTCCCGGTGACAAGTCATGTCATTTGTCATGTAATAATGATAAAAATGCAGAAAATTTAAAATCTGTATCTGCAGTGGTTTGAAAAGTGAGGAAAGGGCTTCTGCACACTGTAGCCTTAATTTCAGAACAGAAGTATATTATGATCTAGAGCCACAAAGCATATCAGTATCATCAGCAGACATAGTACAAAATATAGTATATTATAGTAGAAGACAAGACATTTCTTTCAGAAATGGCTAGGTGAATACAACCAGCTAGGAGAGAATATTTGGTACTGATGTCACATTATGACTTTCCCCATCTGCTTCAGTAACTCTCAGCACAGCTTTCAAGGGCAGATGCATAAGCCTATTAATGTCTCTGGGCGTGCAGCAAAAACACAAAGCACAAAACCCAGCTGACACAAACAGACAATTTGATAGTCTGGCCTGTAGTGTCTTGGCAGTGGCATAGGCTGCTATTGACACTGGGGTGTGGACAATCCCACTGCACGTAAACAGACTCTGTACGTGTGCCGGATTGCGGTCGGCAAGTTCCAGAACTTCCAGAACTTCCCGAAGTGGCCTCTTGCCTTTGCTCGGGATGAGTTGATGTTCTCCATGTTCTCGATGCTCGAGACGCAGTTGTTCTGGACTTTGCTGCAGGCAACGCGAATGTAGTCCCAGAAGCTTCTCTGTCCATCATAGCTGAACCAGCTGGCAGGGCCTGAGAAGGCATTTTTGAAAAGTCAGAAAGCTTTCTTCGGCTTTGAAAAATGAGTTTCATCACTATGACCGATGGTTAATGAATGTAATTTGATTCTCTGTTAACTTAATTAGATTTAATTCGGGCTTCACACTTTCCACCAGCAATCAGATCAGTCTGAGGCAGGGGTCCTGGTCATTCATTCATTCAGCACTCCAGTTCACTGGACTCCGGTTCAATTACCTTTGAAACGATGGCTAAGGATCTGCTCTAGAATCGCAGCAAAGTTGATGAATTCCTCTGATGAGTCATCAATAGGCTCTGCTGTGTACTTCTCTAACAGCGTCTTCACTGAAAACCTGCAGAACACAACCCACAGACCATAAAACTATATATAGTTTCTGGATCTAAGAATTTACTCAAGACAAAATAACTGAAGGATATTAATCTGTTGACTCTGGAAGAACAGGGATGTTTAGAAAAGCATTCAAAGATTTGCAAAAAAACAACGCTTTTACTACTTTAGAATTAAGAATAAAGCAAATTGGTTTGAAAGCAATTTGTCACAATTGTTTTTCTATTTCGTGAAATACAGCTAATACAGTTAAAAGCTTTGCCAGCACTGCTAAGAAAATTATTTTTGCAGTCCTTTAACTGTATTCGCCTCCTCAGCATGTTGGAGGTGGACTTTTAACAATTGCAACTTTTGATCTGTAATTTAAGATCCCCACATCTGGAGATAAAAAACACATGCAAAGGTACCAGTTGAGCTAACTTGTTAGGTAAAGAGCTCAGCTGGAATGAGAACAGTGGGTGTACAGGCCCAGGACCGGGACCGGAGAAGAGCTTTGTGCTCGTAATGCCCCCACATATACTGTAGTATACTAATGTAAGATGCCCCTCTGGACCACTAGCTTGTTTGGAAGCTGGAAATGTACTGAATTTCAAGGATTTCATCCTGACATTTCTCGAGGGGCTCCAGGGAAACCACTGCCTATTCTTTGTCAATCTTATGACTTAGACCACTATCCACTGACCTCCTCAGGTCATCTAACATCGAACATTTCTCGATCATCTAACATTTCTTCTCAAAGCTGATTAGCAGAACACATACAAGGGTAGAAAATACCAACTGAATTGAAATTCCAACCAGAATGCCAACATCAACACACTTTATAGAAGAGACCATAGAAGGTTGAACTTTTTTCACAACACAATAGAACTGTTGTCATTGTTTTATAGATGTATTGAATCCATTTGTTTATCTCCAATGTTGATACAGAGCTCTATCTAAATCAGTAAGAATTAAAACAAGAGGTAAAAACAAAACCAAAGGATGTTATATGGCAGAAAAAAGGCAGTGCCAGTCACTCAATCCGAGCACAAGAACAAAGACATTCAGAAAGGCAGCAATAACTTCTTGAGCAGTTTTTGGTACTGTGTGAATTCGTGAAAATAGAGCATTTTTCTCTTTGCACAAGGGACAAGAGTAACATAAAATTAAGAAGATAAATGGCATGTAGCATGAGAGAATTTTACATCATAAAAATCTATCAAATGTAAAAAAACATGCAGAAGCCTATAACACATCCTTATAATGCTCTGTCAAAACAGCAGTACTTTGTTCTCAGCTGTTATGATGGCATTCAACTCGCAGGCTCTGTTTAAGGGCTGATACTGGGATGTGTAATCTCCTGTGCAGAAAGAGAAAAGTGCATGCCGTACGATGAGGGCATTCCAAAGTAGTTCTTGAAACGTTCAGTGGCTCTTTTTAAATATGATTTAACTCTCATTTTTTTTACTGGACTTTCTAAAGCCAAGGACAACTGACAAAAACAAAAATACAGAAATTGGATGTCTCCCCTCTTGGATGCTGGGTGTAAAGCTGCAAAAGCATTTTCTGTCCCTGCAGATCCTAGGAGCAGTCTCTATACCTACTGGCCAAAATATTAGGTACCCCAGTCCCACCCCATTTTCCTGAAAGGATGGCCTGGAGCTGAAATAAACCATTTTCTGTGGGATTGAAGTTCACATTCCACCACATTGAGGCTGGGGGATCTTCCTGATCAAGGAAGATGACAGAGGTCTGTCTCATGTGTCTGAAACCAGACATACATTGCTTGTGTCATTATCTACAACATTGTGTTAGTTTTTGTTGGGACATTGTGTCATGCTGTGGTGCAAGTAATTTTATACACCAGCTAAACTAAACAGAATGGTTTTGCACATTAACATGTCGTGGGAATGTGAACTTCATATGTTGCAAGAGAAGAATAGTAACCCCAGACTCCTGACAAGTCACACAACAAAGATCAGGGAGACACAAAAAAGCCTCAGGTCTTCAGCCTGTCTTTCTTCATCCACTGCCTTTGTCTTGGGATTTCAGAATCAGGGGTACCAGTGCCACCTACTGGTGTGCCAACCCCATTACAAGCAGGAACTTGTTTCACTTGATTTCTCCTAGATACAGTACCATCTCCTTCTCAGAACTTTGCAGGCCCCAGTCTTGCTGAACTCCTGAAGATCAAGCTTCAAGGTAAAGCCAACAAGAGACTTCTGCGAATACCTCAGATATTCTAAGAGGACCATGCTGGACCACAGCTTGGGAACCCTATACAATGCAAGTCCAGCACTGAAATGCCACATGAACATATTGTTTTTTTCACATCACTAATTTTAGGTACTTGAGTTAACTTGAGCTAAATATTTGGAAAATGTCAAACGACCTGTTGTTTTTTTAGGTATTGAAAAGGGTCCGTGAAAAGCACTTGAATCTGGAGTTTGCACTTCTAGGGTTTCAGTCGCCGTCAAGTGTGGTATTTTGAGATCTAGCCAGTGAATGAGTAGTCTGCCTTATGGAAGTGCCCAAACAACGCGCCACTCCTACCCAACTCCATTTCCAGTCTGTGTCAGATCTCCGGCTCTGACAACGCGCTCAGAACAATGCTGGCTGATTCAGTGATGTCAGGGGTGCTGCCCTTGTACCACAAGGCCTCCTTCGGCCATTCCGATGCGTCCCCATGACGACGGGACAATGGCCTTATTGTCACCTCCTGTCCTGAGATGCTTTCAGCTTGACCCCGATTTTAAGACGGTACCTGGTATCAGCTCCTTTGTTGACTGTCAGTCAGAAGCATTCGTTTTGCCAGAGTCTACATCCTAAGCCAAAGATATCCCTACTATAGTGAGTGCAAAAAATTCACAATCTATCGCCCAGAACGTGAATCTTCATGGTAAAGACTGCTGTCATGGCTCCTGTACTGCGCCTGTGCTCCACAGGAAAGCTACAATGCCATTAACTCCCGGACCCTGACCTCCGGTTATTTCAGCAGTACAAATATAAGCACATTTCTTGAAATTGATTTGAACCAGCAGCTATGCCTACTTTGAAAAAAACTTTATCTTCCACCTTCTTCCTTCTAATACAGACATGCTAAAAAGGAGCTAGCAGTTTTTACACAACATACCTCAGATTTACTTCCTTTCTCACAAACTGGATTATGTTTCACAAGCTCTAGCACCAACTTGTGAAAGAAAAAATATATTTGTTTTCCATTTAGCCTCCTCTGAAGGAATAATGTACGATGGTGTGGACAACATAACGGTTTCCAATTTATTTTTCTGAAATGACCAGCAATATTTTGGAAGCAGTTGTATTGGATTTTCATTGAGCACATCAGATATAAAGTTACCATTGGGAAAACAAGGTTGTACTACTATAAATATTAAAACAACTTGTGTGAAAATGAATCGTACTGTAGTTGTTCACTCCAGCTATGCGCAGTACAATCCCACTGTCCTCACAACGTTAAACAACAGCATTAAAAATACACACCAGGGAATATGCACATTATACAATACTGGTGATTCTACACTTGTTTCATATCCGGTAACAATGTCACCAGCTATTTTGTTGAAAACATTTTATGATAGTGCAGAAGTATTGCTGTCAGTCAGAAGCACTGCTGTAGGGGTTAATTGCTATTCCCTAGTGGCCTTTATTCGTCTCAACGAGAAAAGGTCATTAGGCACTGCAGCCTATACCACGACAGGACACTACAATTGTTAAGCAATTGAATCCATTTTTAAAGCCGGATTTTAATATTTGATCAAAACAAATGACAGCGGATGCTTTCTCGCTCAGTTATTGATTGAGGTTTCCTTCAGCACAGCGACACAGCCGAGGCGACGGCAGCTACAGTGTCCTCTTCCACGGGAAGGTTGTCGCCTTGGCAACGACACCATCCGTGACATTCCTGCTCCGGCGACGGATTACCTCACATCCACAACAACCTCCCGGATACCGGGGGTACCACACACCACACAGGCACCCCCGGCCCGGTCTTCAGGTCCCAGCC